ATTCCTGAGATAGGCATTACTTAGTTTTCACTGTCAAGACAACAGAAGCATGATAATGTCATTCAGGCTGGAAGGTGCCTCTGTAGGTCTCCAGTCCAATCTCATGCAGAGGGCATGCACTGAAGTTGGACCAGGGGTCTTGGGCTTGTCCAGCTGGGTCTTCAAAATGTCTTAAGGACAGAGACTGGACCACCTGGAAGCTTGCTTCACTACTTCACTATATTCGTGTGTGTCTGCCTTTTATAATCCTCTTGAAGCAACGTAGCATCAGGTTTGCAAATGAACTGCTGGCCCGTTCTCTTGCTTAACAAGGAGTTAACAAATTTGTGTGCTGCTTTCCTTCTCAGTATAATAAATTCAAGTGTCGGATCCTGAATGAGAAGGTCAATACTCCAACTACAACAGTATACAGGTAATTATGCATTCATTATAATATTACTGAATATAACTTTCTAGAATGAAATGTACCAAATGAATGTTTCCTTATTTTAGGTGTGGTCCCTTGATAGATTTATGCAGAGGGCCTCATGTCAGACATACTGGCAAGATAAAGACCATAAAAATTCACAAGGTAGGTGCTGAAACTGCCTTAGACAAATGTTTTCACTGAAAATGTGTTGCTGTCTTTGAGCAATATGATTGTGGCTTGTTGAAGAATATACAGTGAAATGGGTAGCCTGGCCAAAATCCCAGTGTAGCCAGCTGGGAAAGGACTGTGTGATAGAATGATATTCTAATGGTGTGAAGCCCAGCTAGGTGGTCAGGACCTGCAGTTACAGCACAGACAAGAGCTTGAGCATGGTGTAAGGCTTGGTTGCACTTTATCAACTAGAGGTTATAATTTTTGCTCGTCTGATGGCTGTAGCTGAGTGTGAATAACAGTTGGAACGGGATGGCTAGAAAGAGAGCAGATAGCCTGGAAAAAAAAGATGAGAGAGCTTGAAACTATGTTTACATAATCTGTTTACCTGTTCTTTCTGGATTTTTGTAGTGAATTTAGTATTAAAACTTTCCATATGCCTTAGTTGTTCTATCGCAAGTATAGTGATTTATTAATAATTTGCATGCTTTTCCATAGCAGGCAGTAGTAATAAAACATGGAGTCTCCTCCTTTTCTTCATTGTTTGATTTATTTTTTGCATGCAGAATTCTTCTACCTATTGGGAAGGCAAGGCTGATATGGAATCCCTCCAGCGGATCTATGGAATTTCATTCCCAGATGCAAAAATGCTGAAGGAATGGGAGAAATTCCAGGAGGAGGCTAAAAATAGAGATCACCGAAAAATTGGGCGGGTGAGATGGTTTTTCTGGTAATGTATTTCACAACACTTAACTAGAAGCATTTTGAAGACAGCGTACACTTGATGCCACAACCAAGATGTGACATAATTGTATTTTCAGTCAGGTTGCAAAATCAGGTACTTCTCTCTCAAAGAGCATCAAAAGTCCTAAAGGAAATCAGTCCTCTGTGGACTTTTCTCTTTTTTAAAAATGATTACATCCTTATTCACAGACAAATCAGAACAGAATGTGAACACTGCAGCCTGCAGGCGGTGCCGATTCCTATGCCACGTGCTGCAGCCTGTTTGCTCACAGTTCTTCTGTGTATTTTCAGAATCTGTGTTACAGTTACGTGGTTTTTTGGTTGGTTGGTTTTTGGTTTTATTTTTTAGATGTAAACCGCTGTTAGATAGATGCTGGATAGTCCTGAACACTGTTGCAAGGCCTGCTGCTAAGACATCAGGATAATACACAGAATAATTGACTGTATGCAGTCCTCAGGCACTTGCAGTTCTTCACAACGCGAGCCAACTACAGTTCATATGTTCAGTTCATGTACAAATAGAGAACTGCCAAAGCAGAACTAAACCATTGCTTACAGCTGTGCAAAGGGAGCAGTGGTGGCACAGGAGTTACAGGTAAATGTGGCGTTTTGGGGCATCGGTGATGGGAGATTCAACTCTCTCTCTTCCCTGTAAGTGCTGATGGAGATACAAGTATTAGTGAAAATGTGTCTGATCTATTGGTATTGCTTTTTTTTTTATGGCGTTTTTTAATTTCTTTTTTAAAAAACAAAACAACTTTGATTAGTGTCACGGGTTAGGGTCAGGGCTGCCCCTAAACCTGTAACAGATGCTGTTAACTCCTCCTCCCCCCCCAGAGGGGACAAGAAAGGGAATGAGACTTATTGATTAGGAAAGAAAACACCTTTAATGAAAATACTACTACTGCTACTGCTAGCAATAACAATAAGAAAATGGAATATGTACAAACCCCGTCCTGAACGCAGCTCCCCCCTGATGACAATACATCACTGTCACCCCTGATGTTGGGGAGCAGCCCCCAGGGAAAAGTCCCAGGCTGGATTCAGTGGCAGATGGCAACTGGGTCCAGCAGCTGGGTTCTGGAACTGGGTTCAGGAACACGGGGCTCAGGATCAAAGGCAGATGGCAGCCAGTGAAGGACCTGCAAAAGGGAGGAAAAAGAGGGAAGGCAGAATGGGTTGAGCCTTATGATCCTTCAGCTTTTATGCTGAGTATGAGGGATATGGGGTGGAATAACCCATTGGTGAATTTTAGGGTCACTTATCTTGTCCACTTCTCCCCACAGGTGTGGCTTTACTTTCTGCCCCTATCCATGTGGTACACAGGATTTAGCAGTGACCTTGGTCTGCACACCAGTCCTTGGTAGTTAAACACAGTGTTAGCACTGCTAGAAGCAGACAGTCTGTGAAAATTTTGCTGTGAACTTCAAAAAGTGCAGTTAATTAGAAGAAGCTTTAGCTGAAAAGTAAAATCATTGAACAGAATTAGTTCTGTTTTACCTCAAACCAGGACAATTAGTGATGCCCAATCACTAGTAGTAATCAGTAACAATTTGTGAATGTTAAGTGAAAAATGTGGTGCACAAATATTAAGCTTTTAAAATACTGTTTTTCTGCAGGACCAAGAACTGTTTTTCTTTCATGAGCTCAGCCCTGGCAGCTGTTTCTTCCTGCCAAAAGGAGCTTACATTTATAACACGTTAATTGAATTCATCCGAGTAAGTAATGTCTTTTGGAAATCTTATAGAAGAAATTACTTTATTTTAGAAAAATATGTAATAGCATGCTACATGTAACAGTACAAACAGCACTTCATTTCAAGGTAGTTTAATCCCTTTATTCGGTAAGCCATGGAACTAAAGAAACCTGGTTTATTTGAATTGTTCTTTTCCCAATTTCTGCGAAGTTTGTTTTTATTAATATTTTTTACATTCAGTTAAAGCAGTGATATACTGATGCTTTGTACTATGAATTCTTTGACATCCAGTAGTACAGCTAAGCTCACACTACAGCTGTATATTGATTTGGTTTAATAAAAGTACTAAATCTGGCCTTGCAGAACCATTTGTTACAAGCTTATGTGTAGGAAAAAAAATCCTGATCTTCCTGTTGTAATATTTGAAGTCCATCTTATTATTGTATATTTGGGTGGCAGTGTACTACCAGGTGGCACTGAATAGTAAGAGACTGCTGCTGTGCTTGCAGGGAGGAAACTTGTTCTTCTTGCTTACTACAGAGGAAGTGTTTGGGGGCAGCATGGTACTGGTGGAAGGGATGTATCCTGGCATGTCCAGCTTGAATTTTTCTCTCCCATTCCTCTTCTCAAGTCATGGATTGTTGTAGGCCAGCATTTGTATATCTTTATGCTTGCAGATTGTAGGCTGAGTACCATTACTTTTGTTTGCTTTAGTGGTAATTTTATATACTGGGTCTATTTTTCCAGAGTGAGTATCGAAAACGTGGATTCCAGGAGGTTGTCACTCCAAATGTTTTCAACAGCAAACTATGGATGACTTCAGGGCACTGGCAGCATTATAGTGACAACATGTTTTCCTTTGAAGTGGAGAAAGAAATCTTTGCTCTGAAGCCTATGAACTGCCCAGGACACTGGTAAATACATAGCAAACGGGGGGAACGTACTAGCTGTAAAAGGACATCTGCATTTGTTTTCCTGACAAAACTAGATGTGAATGATACATGTGTTATTACACTATGGGCATTGTGGGCATCTGCTTAGGTACTGGCTTCTTCTCGTTGGCTGTTCTTTGCAGAATTTTGATTCTGGATGAGCTTCATTCACGTAATAAACTTTTCCTTCAGCCTCATGTTTGATCATCGTCCAAGGTCGTGGCGTGAGCTGCCGCTGCGTTTGGCTGACTTTGGTGTCCTGCATCGCAACGAGCTCTCGGGAGCTCTCACAGGACTCACTCGAGTACGTCGGTTCCAGCAGGATGATGCTCACATATTCTGTGCTATGGAGCAGGTATGGGCTGCTGTCCAGTGAAATGGAGTATTAAAATCAGGGCACCTGATTTTTCCGTATTTGAGACTTTCTTTCTATCCTGATAAAGATTGAAGAGGAGATAAAGAGTTGTCTGCAGTTCTTGCGTACTGTGTATGATGTCTTTGGATTTTCCTTTAAACTGAATCTCTCCACTCGGCCTGAAAAGTACCTGGGGGATATTGAAGTGTGGAATCAAGCTGAAAAGGTAAACAGTAATTGTATTCATTATTTATATGTAAGCAGTGCTGCAGCTGGAAGTCCTGTAAGAACATAATGCCTTCTGGGAGGTACAGTGACAGCTGGACATGAGCAGTATAACTTTAATAACTGCTTCCAATCAGTCTGGCTGCTGTAAATAGCTTACTCTTCATGCATAAGCAATCTCCATGTCAAATTACCTGTCTCTTTTTTATTTGTTTGATAATTTGATTAAAAAAAAAGAGGAAGAGAACAAATTCTGGCAGCCCCTGTAATAAGACTTAGAGCCATCTTCCAAAAGCCAGGTTGCTTTCATATTAAAAGGGACAGGGTTAGTCCCTGCAGTTGCAGTGCTGGGGAGAAGGTAGGGCAGGAATACATATTAGGTGTGTCAGGGTGGATCTCTTAGTATTATCTACAAACCTTGAATCCAGTGTAAAAATTTCTTGCATCTTAGATAACACTTTGTGTTTGTCCTCCTCTAAAATGAAGGCATTGATTTTGTTAGTTCAAATTTGGATTTATTTTTTTTCTTTAGCTAGGGCTCTACCAAAGCTTTCCTTTTTCAGAAAATAAATGGGTTGCAACAGTAACTGAGAAGTACTGAGAATTGGTGGTGTCCCATCTCTGCAGCAGCAGGCAGCAACATACAGAAAGACAGCAAACAATTGAGAAGCACTGAGTGTGTGTGTGTTCTTTGTCTCCAGCAACTCGAAAACAGCCTCAATGACTTCGGTGAGAAGTGGGAGTTAAACCCTGGAGATGGAGCTTTCTATGGACCTAAGGTTAGTATGTTGGTAGTCGGTGGCTGGGTTAGGCTTTTAGTTCTCTTTGGAAGAGGCAGGTGAGAAGTCTGACAGTTCCCTGCTTTCTGCTCGTGCCACAGTAATCTCGGCAGTGTGGGCAGCAAGCAGTGTAACGGATGAGCAGAAAGAAACCAAAGTCTTCATATAGACTTTGACTTTCAGGATATAGAACAAAACTGATTCTTAAAGTGATGGCCTGGTACAAGCTGAAATTGTTAAGAGCTGGGATTAGGAAAAGGGGATTTTTTTTTTATTTTCATGGTTATCTGGTACCATTTTTAAATCCTGTACAGCTGAAATTCTGTAGTTTTTCAGATGCACAAACTCTCACGTACTTAAGAGATAAATAATACCTTGTGACCACGGCTTTCACATAGCTTCAATATGCATTTTGTTAATTAAACCCAGTTTACACGTCTGAACTATTTGTCTGCTGCTTAAACAGAGCTGATTGGTTTTGTGGGAGACTTGAACAGAAGGTGGCACTCTAAGATCTGTGTTACCCCAGCAATTGCTGCACTAGGAGGAATCCATTGGGCGATAAGTAAATCCTAAATCACGAGAAAAACAAACATAAGCATACTGTTAATATAAATTTTTGAAAAATACTTTCACTGCCAGTTTTGTGGCTGCATTGAGTTGCTGGTGGGGTTTGGTATTTTAAAAAGTCTCTTGCATTGGTTTTGTGATTTTTGCTGTGTTTTTTTTTTTAAGCTGTCTCTTCAGTTTGCACAGATTAAGTAAGGCTTTCTAGAAATTTCCTGGTATCTTTGAGCATAAGGACAGAGAGCCTTACAGAATTACTTGTAA